AAATCCTATGCTGGAAAAATATCACGTTGGTTTGTCACTATCTTTTCAGGTTTGTTGCATTTTGAAACAAAACAGAAACTGAGAGGGAAGGAGGTTGCCTTGCTGTTTATGTTTCTTTCATGTTAAGCCAACTACGCTGCTTACCTACTTCTTGATAAATACTGCTCACCTACTTCTCTTTGGGATTAAGTAAATGAAAACAAACCCTCCACAGATAACAGTAATTCCCAAAGGAAGAGATTTTCAAATTTAAAGGCCAAACTGAAATTTAAAATGATTTTCCTAGATTTCCGACCTAGATTCCCTGTCTTATTCTCAGTGCATTTGTCCTTTTAAAGGAACCAATATGTTTGTATAACTGATGTGAAACAAGCTTGACTCCAAAAAGATTTAACTTAATATCTGGCTAAGCATTCAGAGGGTAGTCCATCTGTAGAATGTACATTAAGGACCCTGGCTGGAGCGCAGCTAGTCATGTATGATATCAGGCACACAAATGTGACGTGATGCCCATATACTCTTGAGCATAATTCGAAGTGCCACGAAGCTCTATGGGTAGAGAAGCTATAAACACAGTTGTCACAAATGAGAAAGTCTACAGGGTTATATTCAGACTGAAGAATGAAGAAGCATTAGAACCAGCCATCACATCTTAATGAAATCGTTAATTAAGATATTATGGAATTCATAGCTGAAGATAATATCTGTCCAGCAACCTTGCAGCATGCTTTAATTAACCATTTCTTCCCTGGAATCAGAGGCAGACTCAAAAGTGGTTCAGACAGCCCTCAGTAAATATACAAATACAATCAAAATGATGCTACTTTTTTTTTTTTCCAGTGATTTTTTTTTAATCTTTTATTTCTTTCTAAACAGACCAGCACAGAACATGTGATTATAGGAATAAGTACACGTTTAATCTACATAATCATCAGTATTTCTTTATGTAAAAATGATTAGTAAATAGGGTTTTTAAGCAACTGTTTAGATTAGACATTGGCATCATAGATTAACTTATTTCTAAAACACTTGATTTTATCACTCTGCCTAATGATTTGTCTCATGATTTATTGGCTAATATGATGAATCATGTAAGATTTATTGTTTATCCTATAAATAGTGCAACAAATCATTAAACAGTGATAAAACCCAGCAGTTTCACAAGTCTACCTATGTTGTCTTCATGTACAATGTGCATGTGTTGTACAATAATTTGATGGTTCTGTTTTATGGTATCAGGTGAATAGGCATCTCTGTTTAAATTAAATGGTTTTACGAAATAATAGTGAAGTCATAATCTTATACTCCAGCTATATTTATTTTATACAGAAAAATAAAGCCTAATGCCTGATGTATAGTAAATCTGTAAATTTATTCACAATAGTAAATGTAATATTCTTTCTTAGAAACACCTTAAATATAATGGCTGTTTTTCATATTTTAACATGTCAGCTGTGTTTTTCATGCTGTGGTTTCATGTTGCAGTTGACAAAAATGTTGCTTTTATCCTGGTAATTTTAGAGATCTGAACCCATCCTATTTAGTTCAGCTGAAAGGATGGTGTGGGATATCGGTGAATTGAATATATGAAATTTGGCATTCAGATAATGGGAGTGGCCTTTTTTTTTTTTTTCTTTTCCTTAAGACATAATGGTGGCTTCTCTTGTTGCAGACATAGCTGTGTCTGCTTGTATACGTTAGGGATGAAAGGACAGAAGATAGAACTAATATTCTTGAAAATTCCCCGAGGTCATCAGTGGGTTAGAACAGATGCGGTCATGATGATATTATATGCTGCAGTAGTAGATTTGCAGTATTTTAAATTGAATTATTTGGACTGTAGTGGTCAACCTTTATTGCTAACTGGGCCATTTACCTTCTTTTGATCTCTAGGTATTGCCACACCCTGTTCACCTGTTGCAGAAAAGCTTGTTGTGTATTCACTGGACTGTTGTTTCATACAAAGCACCTCCTGCAATACCTGCTAATGTTGACAGCTCATCAGCACTTTCAAAATCCAGTACGTACTGGAAACACCAGCCTTTTGTTGTCCATCCCATTCATCAGATGTAAAGCTGAGCTGGTGGAGTACAGCTGTGCTGTCCCCACCCAAGAGCAGCAGATTTGCATGGCATATGTGGCACGTAGGACATTTGTGCACAGCCCATCAGCTCTGCACGAGCCCAGGGCTCATGACATGGGAAAAGAGCACCTAAGTGCAGAGTGGTGCTGCTGGTTGTCCCTGATACTCCATTGCCCTGGATAAAAAGGGTCAATGGGAATGGGACATGGGCCACATATCCCACCTGGACAGCTGCATGATGCCTGAGGCTGTATCGGGCACCTGTGTTACACTGCTCCTTTTTTTGGTATGTCACAAGAATTTAGTTTGTGTGAGAGGAGTCAAAATAGGATGAGCAAGAAAATTAAAGAAAGGATCAAAGAATAAACCTCTGACAGGTTTTTAATGAGCCCAGCTCTCCCCTGACCACCATTATGTCAGTGGTATTGGTTGCTTGGTTCCCTTGTCTGGCACAGTGGTAAATTCTAAGGAGTTTGGTTATTGCTTATTTGTACTTTGTCATAGGTGCTGTCCAGCCTGGGCACTCGGGCTCTCCTCTTGTGCCAGGCGCTTGTTCAGCTACTTGTTCCAGCCTGTAAAAGAACCTGAACGCAAACTGGCAGAATCTGCGTAGCAAGGCTCTGAAAATCATCTCCAATGATCCAGAAAGCGCCATAGCAAGCAGAAGGAGTCCTGCTCCTTGTCATCGTGATTATGGAGATGCAGGGAGCAGGTATCCATGTATGGTACGGCCTAACGAAGTAAGTGTGCCTTGTTTGTTAACTAACTGAGCATGTCCCTTCTGTGCCCTGCTAATAATTCCTCCTCTCAGGTTTTTCAGAGGGAAACTGCCACAGTGCTTAAGATGCACCGTGAATAATAAGGTGCTCTTTCTGTGCTTTGGACATCTATTTTATTTGTAGAAGAACACTGAGCACAGCTCAGCAGCTCACCAGTCCTGGGCAGCTGTACAATTTTAAAAATGTGTGGCAATATTCCATGAGTCCTTTCTGTAGTACTCTGACCTAGCTGTATTTGGTCTCTTTGTATGTTATTGGTGACGCCCTTTATAAAAAAAAATGAAGAAGGAACAACAAATCTTTGAAGGTTGGTAAGAAATAAGCCTTCTATGGCTACTCCTAAAGGGTAGCTGACAGTATTTGTGGGTCAAAGTCTGGGAAAAGTGAAGTTAATTCAAAGGTAGGTGGTAGATGAGATGGCTACTTAGGATTGATATTTTGGCGTGTTAAATAATTAAATCCAGGAAGACGATCTTAATGACAGAAGCCAGCAAAGAAAATGTGCTTCTCTGTGCTTGTGTTACTCCATGTGTGTATAAGTAGCACAAATTTGTCCTTTGGTATAGCAATCTTCCTTGGATGGGTGCACCCTGTGGTGCATCAGCAGAGAAAGTAAAGCTGTGGATCTTTTAAGTCTCCAGTGTAATCCCAGGCAGTGGCACAACTGATTTTATTCCAAACAAGCCTTTTAGTCCTCAGTGTGATTCTAGAGAAATATTCCTGTTTTTCTTAGAGGAATCTGTTAGGAAAGTTTCCTGGAATTCATCTAGATCTGTAGTAGTACTATGGAAGAGGAGGAAAACAGAAGGAAAATTCTAGATTAATGGAAAAGGGCTTTAAAGGGATCAAAGTTATTATTTAACACAGGAGGAGGAAGATGGTTTATTATACTGGACCAAACAGCTAGAAAGACCTTACTTTATAAGTGCTGATGTAGGCTTATCTCAAACCAGGGTAAAGGTTATTGCATTAAAGGTTTCAAAGCTAGGAAATTCATGTTTCTAGAGTGGGTGCATAAATCTGAGACATTTTTAATCTCACTATGTAAATAAATCTCTTCAGAAAAATAAAATTGTACCGCTTTGATTCATTTGCCATAAACCCTTTTAATTTGATTTTGATTGATAGCTATATCCCTTGCATTAGAACTTTCTGAAAAATTTTTAAGATAAGCAATTACTCACTCCCTCTGGGTTATGCAAAGTTTTCAAACTTGTGAGGATGTTTTACTCCTGTATAAAATATACTTTGCAAATATTTTTTTTATATTACAATTGCATTTTGCTTTTATCTTTCACAGCATTTGTTCATCTTTCATGCTATACTTTCAGACTCTGCAACGTGACTGACTGATATGGTAAGTGCAGTTAATTTTAATTCTGATTTTTAGGACTGAATTTGTCAATCAATATTGTTCACTGGAGTAATTCACTAACTGTCTCTAATTTCTTAGATTTTTTTTCTTTTTTTTTTCTTCTTTCTTTCTCTTTTATTTAATAATTTACAAGTGAAACTTCTCTAAGAGCTACCTGTCAATTTGGTGTTCACAAATTGAAGGATGAGTGGCTGTTGTTTGTATCCCACACGAACACAGCTCTGGTTCAGCAGCAGTGATTGTCAGTAGGCTTCCATCAAGTCTGTGCTTTTACCCACATTCAATAGGCAGCCAAGATGCCAAAAAAACAGAACAAGCTGCATCTTCAAGAAATAAAAGCACACAGGGAGCACGGGTAACCAGCAGTACAAGATCCAAACCAGACAGATCAAATTAATTCTGTGAAGAGGACTGGATTATATAAACACATTACATATGCCAGATATTGATGTAGGACATTATTCTCTCTTATTCACAGGAGATTCTGCTAGTGTCAATAAGAGGTTTACAGAAAGATGTAAAGTGTCATCATCAAGTAGTAACTAATGTTTTAGTTAGCACCATTATTATTTCATATGCAGCATTACCTGATGGGAAAAACCCATTAACTTTAAAACCATAGTTGTGTGCTCTGTATTTCTCCTTGTTTGTTGTCCTTTCAACTTCCCTATCAACCTTTAACATCAATCAACAAATTCATCCTTTTCCAGGTGAATAATGATCCCATGATGACTGGCATATCTGTCTGGAGAACAAGGAGTGTAGCAGAGCTGATCCCGCAGCACCCCTGTGATGTAGGGCTCAGACCTTGGATATTCAGGGGAAACATCCAGAACAGGTACACTAAAATTTTAATACTATTCACCTAAATTTTCCTAGTTTGTTTTCCTTTTTTTTTTTTCTTTTATGTAATCCTATCACTTATGTCCCAGTACAGGAACTCAAGATGTCCACGCCTGCTGAGTACCGAGGCCCTCCCCGGCCTCGTGTGCAGCAGCTCTGCATGTCAGGTCTGTAGTTCAAAAAGATGATCCCTTTTCTCTGCGCAGCCAAAATTATGGACTTGCCATCTCAGTGAAGATAATAAGAACTGACTGGCCTAAATTGGACTTGTATTCTTAGTGCATTTTTGGCAACGTCATTCCTGTCCCTCAGAAACAACCCACATTCCGTTCCTTGTTACTCAACATCAGTGTCGGGATAGATGTGTCCCAAAAGCGGCAGCTTCCCAAACATCCACGCTGATGCGGTGATGAGCAGTGCTGATAACATCAGCTGCCTGGAAAATGTCTCTCCCCACAGCTCCCCTGCCCTGAGCCCACAGTAGGTGTCTGGATGCATCCCTGTTTCTTCTGGCAGATGGAAGCTTTCTGTTCATGCGGACCCTGCTCCTTTTGCATCTTGGCTGAAAGCATTCCTTGAAAATAAAACAAGCATGTCTTCCATTGCAACATGGCATCGCTGAGGTTCCTCCAGCACCTTTTCCCAGTGGCTTGCTGGAAGTCCTTGGTTGTACACAGCAGCCTTCTCTTGGCCTCCATAGCTGTCATAGCTCCTTCTAAACCCTTTCCAAGCAGCTCCTTCCGTGCCTCGGGTTTTTTTGTTGTCTATAAAGCTTTGTTTAGATTGTAAAACAGCCTTTGAACTCTCTGGCTGGTTACTAGAGGACTTGCAATGCAGGATGCATCCTGGCCAGTCCCACCATTCCTCCATGTGACATCCAGAGTGGCATTTCTACTATCATTTTACTATTATGAACTCTTCTCCCCCTCTTTCCCCCACCCCCCAAAAGTAGAAATAGTTATTTCATAAATATCCAAATGGGTTCTAGCTTTAAGGATGACACACATTTAATGTGGCTTATGGTATATTATTCTTGCTTAACTTTGAGCTTTTGATTTAGCATTCCAGTTTAGCAGTGGTATTCCACAGGGGATATTGTTGGTTTCCAAATCTTTTGTCAGAGTAATTGAGCATAACATCTTTGCAGGTTTGTGTTTCAAAAGATGCATTATCTTTTCTTGTCCATTTGTTCTTTCCAAGCTATTCAAAACTTTAGCTTTACGGATCCTTTGGAAGAATATGAGGTTTAGGGCTGATAATTTATGTTTCTGCTGAATTTGCAACTCTGCATGTGATGATTAATACACTTTTCTCCATAAATAAGAAGAGATGATATCTGTGAATTGGTAACAAAACAGAAGAATTTCATTAAATTCTGTATTTTGCAAGAGACTTCCATCCTTTTAAATCTTTATAAATTAAACATCATCCATGTCTGGCTGGCTGAAGAATGAATGTCAAATATAAGATATCTCCCTTAAATATTTTCTTGAAAGTAATCTATATGATTTACAACGTATTGCAATTAACATTGACCTTTTGTCTGCTTCAAAAGAATGTGAGAACAGTTTTTTGACATCAAAGAGATTTTCTAAATTTCCAAAAATATTCCTGATGAAAGTTGTTCTGACTGGGAAAAATATGTCACCTTCATTTAAAAGTTATGGCACACTTGATAGATGATCTGCCTCTTTGCTAACCTTAGTTCATGCACAGAAGTGGATTTAAAAAGACTCTTGCAAATAATCATCTTTTAGAAAATGCACATCCTCAGAAGTCAAAATTAAGAATCCTGTACTTCCTGTTTAAGATCAGCTGACAATTTACTCAAGCTCTGGAGGCTGCTATTCACTCTCCCACTTCTTTCCAACCACTTAATTGCCAGCCTACAGCTGCAGTTGAGATTGCAATAAATTTAGTCTTTTTTTTTGTCTAAAATAAAAAAAAATGAACGAAGTCCAGTTTTCACAAATATCTATATGAAAATTGATTTTACAATTTATATTAATATATTTTAGACCTATAGACAGTTTTATTTTAAATGAACAGTTATGAAAATGTTTGTGGAAAGCAAATAAATGGTCTGTGAATAGGATCAAATTTTTTACCATAGTAAGATGTAGAGTCCTGCTCCTCTCTATTTGCTTACTCTTTGCTCTTCCCTACTTTGATCCCCTTCTAAAGGTTAGGAAGGCTGCTCTGGCCACAGTGTCCTGCCAGTATGTGACAAGTTCAAGCACTGTCCCCCTGGGCACTTGGCTGGAGCAGCCTCTCTTTGTAGCAGCCCTGACTTTGATGGCAAAGTATTAACTGTTGGGTTGAGGGAGGGGAGGAGAGATCAGAGCAGGAGTTAGGCCAGCTGCCAGCCACAGTAAAATTACTCCTGTAACCACTCCAATATGTGTACCAGAATTTAGGGACTCCGATATATTCAGACAGAACAGTTTTACACAAAGGGTAGTTGAAATACAGTCTGGAACAAACTGCCGAAGTCAGCAGTAGAAGCAAATAGTGTAAATCAGCTCAAGGAGGAGTTTTTGAAGAAGACAGGGGGAAGAGCACAGAGCTACTAGCTAGAAGTTCAAGTTTCAGATGATGAAACACAGATTGATTTGTATTTCCTGAGGTTATGAGGGCAGGTCTTCATGGACCGTGTCATCCTCTTTGGGCTGTTAAAAGTTCATGTGTACTTTTGTGCTGTGTTCATTCAGTTTTAAGTGGTGCTTTTTCCCCCCACACATTCTCTTTAGGTACTGTCTTGCAGAGGGAAATGTGAACCACAGAAACTGTTTCCTCACATCTTAGAGGACTTCACCAAAGCCAGTGTAATCATTTAGTTACAGCGGTGCAAGCAAGTGCATTTTTCAGCTTATAGGCATATAAATGTGCCTGCTTTGTGTTGTTTCCTGGGAGGGGCCTCCTGACCATGCTGCAGTATTTATGACTAAACTACAATGGTAAGGAAATCTTGACTATTAAATCAAACATGGAAGTATTTTAGCTTTTCAGGGTACCACTAATCTCAGAGCTGTCACACTGGTGTGATGAACAAGAGATGCACGTTACAGGAGGGGCCAGAACAGAAACAAGGTGGGGGCAAACCCACTTTACTGCTCTTCAGTGATGAACCTCCATTTAGTCCTTGTGGCCACTGATGTGTTCTTCTGGAGAAGAGAAATCCTTCCCTAAAGGATCTCGTTTTGTTGGGGTTTTTTTTGTTTGTTTGGTTTTGGGTTTGTTTTTGTTTCGTTTTTTAATATCAGGCAGTTCATGAACATAATTGCACATGTAAGAGAGTCCCTTTTCCTCCTCCCACATTTGCAACCCAACTCTACTGCTCTCTGTTGGAAGTCCTGAGCTGACTCTCTTGAACCTCTAGGAGTCCTTCCTTGGCTGGATAAGAGCTTGCCTTGATTTTTCCCTAGACTTTTTTTTTTTTTTTTGATAGATAAACATCTTAGATTGCCATTGCTAATATTACATGAGAAAAACGGATTGTATTTTATTTCAGTCTGAAGTTTCAAAGTCATAGGCTCTCCTAGGTCACTTGTTCATGTAATGTTTTCAGTAGAATTTTTTTACTGTACAAGTTTTCCCTTCTTTTTTAATTATCTTTTATTACAGATCTGATAAGCAAAACACAAATGTCTTTTGTTTATTTTGATTCAAGTAAGAACCCAAAATACAGATTTTTTTTTTTTAACTGAGATTCCCTGTGCCTTGTTTTTCTTGCTTAAAGAGATGTTTATTTTCACTGAGATTTCTCTGAGTATTTCCAATATTTTCTGCCTCAGCATAACATTACAAAATGCTCTCTGTTCATTCATTACTATGCCTATTGGGGTGCTGAAAGAGCATAAAATACCTCATAATGATTCCCACTTTCTTCCTGCACTCACAACCCTGTTGGAAATCAGACATGCAGTTTCATAACAAAGAAAAATAATAAGAAAATGAGCTGAACTTTGTAAATGACCACAAATATTCGGTTCCTTTTTCACAGAAATTCATAACCTGTGCTGCACAGTCCCTGCTCTCTGCTTCACAGCCGTAGATGTGCTGGTATTGTGTTTAAAGCCCAACAGAGCAGTAGCAACAAGACAGAGGTGGCCTTACAGGAGCACAGCAGCCAGATGATTGGATCCCATTTCCCACAGGTTTCTAAGTCTGCAACTGAAAATGCCTTGTAACTCTATTAGGAAAGACCTACAGTGATCAATAGAAGCAACAAGGCCACACGAGTACGTCTCGAAGCACAATGAAAATTGCACATCCCACGGTGCTCAGGGGACTTAATATTTTTCAGTGATTTTCTCGCCCCATTCCTTGCCCTTGTTCACAGAGCAGTTCTTCTGTCTTGTGCACCTTTATTGTAAAATGCAACTGGGCTTGTTCATTACCATAGTTTACTCAGAAAATCAGTTCTGTACATTTCCTAAGGTTTTAGGTAATATAGATTATTTTATTATTAGAGAAAACGTTTATTACAGTTTTCTCTAGTTTCGTAAAGATTGGTTTATATTTTAAAGTGGCATGATGCAAATTCAAAGAGAGAATGCCTGCACTGCTGAGAGAAGAGGGCAGCAGCCCCTTCCCATCTCTCTTGCTTGAGACAAGAGGACCAAGGTCTGGAGCAAGGTTATGGTTTGTGGAGATGATTGGAGCTGGACCCATGGGCTCAGTGTAGTGAATGAGGACCACAACCTTCCCAGATGTTCTGAGCCTGAGATGAGATGGGACCGATTTAAGACCTGAACTAGTCTCATGGCAATTTTTCTCAACAGCTTTCAGAACTGTCTCACTTTAGTGACAACTAAGAGGCTGCCCGTTCTATTATATAATTATTTTTAGTTTGCTGTTATGCACCCACTACAATACATTGTTTAAAACTTTTTTTTTTTTTTTAATGTGAGAAAAACAAAATGCTTTTAGGTGTACGGGGAGTCTTTTATAGGCACAGTATTTAGCTCCAAGCACGTGAAAAAATGACTACTTGACTAGGTTAGCTTTGGGTGCCCTAAGGCTCTTTGAGATTAGTTTTAGATTCATATGCTATGGTCACTCATTGACCAACTGCTTCAACCCTTATACATATCCAGCACAGGATCATTTCCCTCAGGCATGGTTTTCTTTCAATCATATTTAGCAAAACTATTAAACACACTTGGGGCTTGCACTGAGGAGAGAAACAACTTCATATGTACACAATTCAAAACAATTTTCTTCTTCAGGAAGGTGAAAAAACTTGGTTAAGTCGCATTTTGTCGAGACTTAAGCTTGGTACGCCCTGAAAGGGCTCTGTATAACTTCCCCTGCAATTAAATTAATTCTGCATTATTCCTAGTGATTTTTGACAACAGTTTTGAAGCTGATGCAAAGATGCTTTATTTCTAAGCAAACAGAAAAATGAAATACTTCTTATTTTCACTTCCAAGAGTGTATGACAGTAGATACAGTAGTGGGATGGGAAGCAAATGCTACGGTGATTGCTTTTTATCTTTTTAATAGCCCTTACTTTAGCAGCCAAATTTTATTTTTCAACAATCCTCAATTCGTAAGGTTTTCAGCTTTGGTGTTTTTTTTAAAAACAGTTCTTAACACACACCCCCTTGCCCCCCATAGTTCAGAGCAGATGAGCATCCCCAATAGTGGACGAAGAGTCTATGCAGAGAAAGGGTGTGAAGCAGAGTGGTTGGGTCACTGAGCATTGCCAGGTTTCTGATCCCCCACGTAGCTCCCTTCATGTGCAGAGTCATATTGGCTCCAGTTCAGGGAAACTCAGTGCAGGAAGAGTAAGTGTTCACACACAAAGGCTGTATGTAGGACTTGTTACTGGACCCTAAATTTGGATTTGGGAAGCGTTCCCAGATGGCCTATCAAGTGAGTATTTTTGGTTCTTAACTTGGAAAGATTCACATTAAATTCAATGAGTTCTCTTTATTACACATAAGTTTACAGGAAATGCTCTTCACTTAAACAGTGCAGCTTTGAACAGAGTAGAAATGCATGTGAGAGGGAGGTGTAAGGTTTTTTTGTGTGCTGTCTGTGGGTGTATTTCCCTGTGCACAGAGTTATTGTTTGTGGGAGAACAGTGGGGAATTCTTGGTTATCTACTTCGGGTGGGTGTCTATGAAAGAATGATCTCCCAGATTATCCCAGAAGTAAACAATGCTCTCCCTTCAAGATCTATCTTAATTCAAATCCTGTGTCTGACAGATTTCACTTAGGAGTCCTCACTCACCACTGCACTTTGACTGCTCAAACCAGAAATCTCTGGTGGCACTCCCTCTGTTTAGCCTGTCTGGCTTGTACCTGAACTCTCCTGGATCTTTTACTCATGAAGGCATGTGCACATATTCACTTCTGCTGCTGTCTCCTTTCTTTGTATGGGGATCACCTGAGCTGCTTAAGTGGGCTTAAAAATTTTAATTTCTTTTCCAATAGCAGTGGAATTCCTTAGATTTATATTAAAAATCTATCTTATATCTCTGTAAGATCTTCTATAGTCAGATTTAGAAGTTTTTCAGGTGTCTGTCTTAGCATCAATCACATCCATATTAAAATTTTTTGTAATCATACACCTTTGATTACTGCAGGTATTTTTGGTCTTGTGCACTGAGTTGTAAACAAGAGTAAGGCAGAATTCCTTCTTTGAGGTGGGACCAAAATTAGAAGATATCTGGGCGGTTATTTGGTTCCTCTTTTTTTCCCTTTTCACAACTGTCTTGATGTTCAACACATGGCCGAAATTCAGAATGAAAGGTAAATTGTAGACCTAATTTTTGCTAGGTCATGTGCAAAATGCTCCTAACCTTTGATACTCCACTAAGTTGACTGGAATTTTCGTTTTCTCTTTTCTGTCTCTGACAACTTTGAATGGAGGAGTCATGTTAGAGAAGCTCTTGAAATGGCCTTTGTTGTGTACAACTCCAAGAGTAATGCTGGGTTTTAAATCTCCTATTTTAAATCTCCTATATTTAAATCTTCCATCTTATTTAATTAGCACTAGATTTTAAGACAACAGATGGCCTTTTTTTAACTTCTTACCTTGCATCATGTAATGGTGTTCTGGACCACACAGACAATGAACTAAATTTTGGGGAGTGTAATTACTTTTTGGATATTTCCCTTTCTCACTGTGTCAAGGCTTGTTGAGCAGTTGCTTAAGATCACAGTCTGTGTGTTAATATAGCTAAATACAGTGCAGTTCAAGGCATCTATTTTTAGTCTTCTATTATTCCTCTTTTCAATTGTGCATCTTGTCATCTTCAGTTATTAGAAATTCTAAATTTCAGCATTGAAAGTGCTAAACTACCTTTTCTACTAGTTATTCATTAATGTTTTGTGATTTAATATTTCATTGTATGTAGAAGTCATGAGACATTATAGTGTGAAAAGTACTGTATAAGTTTTATTATATTCTTTACAGCACTTAAATCTTGATGATTTTCCAGCAGTGAAAATTAGAGATATTTTTCTTACAGGTAAAATAATTAGTGGTTTAGGTGAAAGTGTGTTTGGTTATGCAGAATATCAGACTTTTTGAATCATATTTTCAGTTTCTTGCAGTTAGAAAAACAGAATATCATCCTTTTAACTATAAATTAGTACATTTGGTCTTATTTTCTGGAATTTCCATAGTACATGTGATAGGCTATAGCAAGCATATTATCTCTGAAAAGCCTTCATATCTTCTGAAAATATTAAATGTTTTAGAGGCTTTGAGGAGAAAACTCCAAGTGAAGGTAATGCCCTAAATGCTTCTTACCTGTGTTCCTGAAATAAGTAACTTAAAACATCTTCAGGTTTGAATTTTTAAAGTGACAAAGCTTAGTTCTGCTTAGAGATGTGATCACCCTGTGACAGCACCTTTGCCTTCACACCGCTGCACTGAATTCATGTCTTCCAAAGGCAGATCCTGATATCCTTAATTTTTTTTTTTTTTTTTTCAGGTACAATATCACTAGATTTAAATTACTGAAGGAAACTTCCTGATGATCCTTTGTGCTTTCAGTTTGTAAACTGGCAACACTTCTACCCTGTACAATTAAGAAAAGGGGTTTTTTTTGGTGTAGATCCCTACTCTCATATATGAATAGGTTTCTAGTCTCCCTCAGCACCACCTGTAGCCAAGAGAAAAAGGAGCTCCTATGGGAAATAACTGGGAGCACCTACATTCAGATCCTGTTCTGAATCCCCTGGAAGAGGATCTTTCTTTCCAGTCACTCTGGTTTAGAAACCAGCTGAACCAGCGAGGTGCACAACGCTGAGCTCCATGGAGGCTTTGTCCATGTGTCGTGATAGTTGGCTTCAAAATTGTTGTTTAGTGAACTTTTCTCAGAACAAAAATATTGACCCAAATCTTATTTAAAGCTTAACACAGAGATACTTTATGAATGTCTGGGTTGAATAGAGTTCAGGCAGAATTTTTTGCTTTGTGTTTGTGTGAAACAGGAATCTGAATTCAGTCACGTCTACAGTTTGGGCTTCTAGAAATTAGCATGAGGAATAATCCCACATTGTGGGGTGGATTTTTAATGTTCCCTGCAATTAAAATAGTTCTGCATTACATTCAAGCAAAAACTATGCTTTGGCAGGGTGGTGAAACATTAGAGAATTCTCCTCAAATTAGTTACAGAAATTGAGTGACAGGACAAATTAAGAAGAGGCAGGAGGGAGTGAAATATTTTATTTTTAAAATACTCCATAAAGACAAACATGCAGTAAATTAGCAAGTGTGCTTTCTCAATTATTCATGGAAACATGTTTAGAAAAAAACCCAAAAACATGGGGTTGGGGGTTTTTTTTATTATTTGGCAGAATTTTCCAGTGTTTTGTCAGTTTTCCTACAGGCTGCTGTGCCTGGAGCTCCTGGGGACGGTCACCAGAAGGCTTTGAGGAAGCCTTCAGAAAAGAAGTAGCAGACATGGAGAAGTGCAGCCAGAATGACTGTGCAAGGCAGCAAGCTCAGAGCTGCGCATCCCTTTTGTAAACCTTTCCACCCCAAAGGCATCATTTTGAGCAGTTACACGTATGAAGTGAGAAAATTACAGAGATCCGTGGATCTACCTGCATCCTGTCCTGGATACTTCAAAAGCTGCAGTTAAAAGTATAAACCAAACTTCCTCTGCACTTACAGCAGGTGGTATTAATTTATGTCATTTAGATTAATAGCAGTTGTTGTTCAACAATAGCTGTTGATAAAGTAGTGTCGGTGTAACAATATGCAAAAAACTGCATCTAAACTTGGAGGGGGAGCAGGGAGGGCAGCCAAATGCTCCACCCTGAAATATATATATATAAAAAAATAAAAATTTCTCTGTCCACAGAAATGATAACTTCAGTATGTTTATTGGTTGTGGTGAAAAACAACCACTTGCAAATTCAGTGAGACAAGGAACACCAGATTGGATCTGTATATTTTTTTTTAAATGTTGCTTCCAACTACAATGTAAGTGTTAGAAAGGAGGGGAAGCTTTTTTTTTGTTTTGGAAATATATTGGGTTTTATTGCAACAAATGGTCCTGGCTCAAAGACATCCCTAGTTTAACCTGATAATCTGTGAGAAGTAGAAGGGCATGTGCTGGCAGAAGAGAGCAGAGCTGTGAAAGGGATCTGTCCTTAGGACCTGTCTATCTTTCTGTTCATAATAAAAGCAAGAGGGAAAAAAAAGCTGCAGTGTTATCAGTACACTTCTGCAAGTGAATTAGCTAGCACAGATTTGATAAAGCTTATAAACCCTCTAGAGCAATCGTGACAGTTTGCTGGCTTGGGCTTTGTCTGCTGCCAGTTACTCCTTGCTAGTGGCACTCTTTATTTATGCTTCAGTACCACGTTATCCTCTGGGCTTCAAACAGAAGGGACCTGTCTGTAAGTGTTTTGGTTGTGGTGTTAAAAAATAAGAGTGCAGCAAAACACATGCAACAGTGCCCAAGCTCCGTTTCAGCCTGTTTCCCTTCTCGTGGTGTTGCTTCCCCGCGACTGTTCGGTGCACGCAGAGCGTGGCTGAGGTGGTGTAATGTCTGCCTTCCACTAGAGAGTGTCACAGAGTTACTTCAATGAATGAAGAAAGCCAAATGGATGCATTATGTGCTTTGTTGTGGGTAAAATGCAAAAGTGGTGTGACCTCAGGAGCAGGACATAGGTGTGCCTGCCTCCATGTTTTCCATTTTCTAACCACTGCCATTTATTCTTCAATCTGCAGCTAAAAGTGTACATAGTGCAGGAGGGAACCACGTTTTCATACACACCAGGTTTTTTTGCCCTTTTGACAATGTGTCCATCTTAGCCTTATTTTAAATATATAATCTGGTACTTTTTGCTCTCTTTTGTACTCAAATTAAATTTATACTTCAAAAATGTTAGCATAATTCTGGAGTCGATGGTTGCAGGCATATTCCTGGCATAAGGCATCGGCAAGCAGAGTTTAGACTTTGGATCAGCCTATGTAAAATTCTACACATGGGAATCTTGGAAAAAAAAGTTGCAGTCCATTAGCAAATTCTCATATCTGGACTGAAGATGTATATGCATAAGTAGAGAAATTGAAAAATGATGTTAAGTAGTCAGAAAGTCTCCAAAGGGAGATCTGGACAAGAAGCTACAGTAATAGCGGTAGATGGCTGTTATTATAAAAAGAAAAACTTAAAAGTGAGGGCAATACTAACACTCCAAATGCATAATTTCTTGAGCCTCTGGAATTTTGTATGGAAATGAAAACACCGAAAGTATTGCTTTTCAGGTGTGTCACGTCATTGAACAACACCTATTCCTGTTTCTAAATAAAGGATTATTTATGAAGATACTTCATTTGGAAGAATAAATTAAAAATGCAAATACTGTGCTGACCACTGCAGTGCTTAAAATGGGCTTTAATCCTCAAGGTCAATTTAGGTGAACTTCCCTGTCCCTGAATTCTGGCAAACTCTGCAATTCATGTGTTTTCTGTTGTAGAGGACTGATGCCTCCTTTATTCCACGTTTGTCATGGATGGCCAACATCTTTGTTGAGTGTGCACTGTTTTTCTTCTGCTTTAGAGAATGTGATACCTCAGGTGACACCAGCTGAGAGTCCTTTGATCCCATCCTGTCCCCACATTTGGGGACATACAGACACCTCAGCAGACACTTTTATTCCCAGATGACTTCCAGCATATAAGAAGAATTTTCAAGGCTCTGGAAAACTCAAAACCAGAAGAAGCAGGGCCAGTTGAGCTCAAAAGCTTCACTTCACCTTTTCCTTGAGAAAACACGTTAAAGGGATGAATTAGAGGCCTGAGCATCTCTTGGTGACAAATCACAGCTGAAGGGGAGTCAAAGACCTGAGTTCAGAATGATAAAAAGGGATTTCTCTTGAGCTTAAGACAAAGCAAATAGTGCAGTGTGAGTAATTATGTCGGGTGTTACTACAGTGAGGGGAGCTGTAGACTCGACTTGTCAGTGAGAAACTGCAAGGTCCTGTGATACATCTTTGTAAGGTTACATCTACTTATTTGTGACAGTCTCAGTCTTTGTTCTTAAAAACTTCCAGTTTGCTTTAGCTATTTAAATACCCCTGCAGTTGGCTCACCTCTGTATTTCCCCCTTTCCCTGGTGGAAAGGTGAAGTACAAGTGTTACACTGAGCTTGAGCTGCTACTGCATTGGAAACTAGCACAAACTGTTTGATCCTTTGAGTGTGTAAAATGGATTTGGGGAGGTATTTTGAAATTTTTGCTATTAGTTCTGTTTGGAGCATACGCATGTGGAAGCAAGGGAGGGATTTTCCCATCGTCGCCTGGCATTCATCACTAAATAAAGGGAAATGTACAGCTGAGGATAACTAAAAACATTTGAAAGAATCTACTCACCCCCAGCAAGCAGGTTTTAGGTACAGAGGTGTGGATAATAATAAATAACAAAAAGAATCCCTGTGTTACTGACCTGAGCACTTCCAGTGGCAGCAGGATGCAACTCTTCAGTCCAGTGTTTGCTCCTCTATCCATCCCATCTCCTAGGGTACCTCCTAGTGAAGACTAAGAAAATGGCTGATGGTTGTATGTTGGTTTTTTTGTTTTGTTTGTTTGTTTGTTTTGTGGTGGGTTTTGGGTTTTTTGTTTGTTTGTTTTTGGTTTTGTTTTGTTGTTTTGTTTTCCCAAAAAAAGAAATAGAGAAAGTCTACAGGTGAGCTTTTAAAAAAAAAAAAAAAAAAGTTTATGAAACTTTTTTCTCTGTTTTCTAGAACATAATGGGGCAGCTGCACAACCACAGGAAAAGAGAGAAGGTTCCTGTGGCTCTGCCAGTGGCTCAGCAGGAATATGTGAGTAAATATCTCTTCAACTAAGTTTACCTTTTATATTTAGAATTGAAACACATCTTTTATGAACTACATAAGAATGTTTAATTAATGTCTGAGAGCTCTGAGACCCTCCATAAGGAGGTTGGGGTTTTTTTAATGAAAGCAAAGATGTATTTATTAATAACCAGGTGTGTATTTTTCACTTTGTCTTCTCATAAATAGTATCCTAAAGAGAAAAAAAAAAAAAAAAGAGGGTAGAACTATTTTTAGTAGCTTTTGGATAAGAGTTTATACTGAACTGAAGGAACTTTGAAAGATAGCTTATTCAGCCATACTATGTGCACTTTTATTGCAAGAGGGATTTCTAACAGTCAACAGAAGTTCCTTCTTGAGGACCTGGAGAGAGTGTGATCTAACTCTTTCAAGTTAATCATGAGCCACAGAGCAAGCACTGAGTAACCTGATAGCCAAAACTGAAAGGTCACAGCCTGTCTAGAGAGAGAGGTTATAGTGTTTCCCTCTTAAAAGAGACATGACAATTCATTTTGATCCCTGTCATAGAGTTACAGAGGACTTAAGGCGAGAGCATGTTCAGCTGGAGCTCAGCAAAAGGGTCTGGGTGTCTCAGCACACACCCCTGGTGTCATTGCCACTTCTGTGCCCCTCACAGCAGAAAGCTAATGCAGTTTCAGGCCGTGTCACAGCTCTGTATTCATCCCTTTTCTTCAGCTGCAACTCACTGGATCCTTGATGGTTTTACTTCTGTGTGCACCACAGTGGGTTTGAGGGCCCCTCTATGAGGAGAAGGCTGCAGATATGTCCTTATTCTCCTCTAGAGTTCTCACTGAATCCCAGGATACCTTGGGCTTTGCAGTGAAACGTGTACATGTGTGTATTTGTCATGTTCATAACTGATGGGGCAGCAGAAAACAGAGCATGGAAATATTAATATATAAAATCTATTAGAAATTGATCCTACTAGCAGAATCTGTAAGTTAGCAGGAGTATGTGTGTGTCAGGATGAGATGATAATCCATAAAAAGTAGAGTTTTGTTTCAATATGAGAAAACTGTAAAGGTTTAAAGCCTGGGTGTTGGTTTACCTGTTCATTTTTTTTTCCCTTTTCCCAAAATATCTCTTTACACCACGTATATCCTCCAGCCTTTAGAGCTACTAGTTTAAACAGGAATAGATATGTAGAAGCATATTCATGCTGTACACTCTAGGGCAGCTGAGCACTGAATTTACCTCCAAGTGTTTTAAATGTCAAATAAGATTAACCATCCACTAATCTTTCGAACAATTCACTGAAAGTTCTGCTCCCTGGCAATGGTTTTGCATAATAGACAAGGTAACCCCTTTGCTGCCTGAGAGTTGTTCAGCAGATGGGCAGCAAAAACAAACCAGTGTTGGATGATGGGACCATTTTACATGCCATGTGCTGTTGCACATAATGTTTTCCTGAATGAACAGCAAACACTGCCCAAAGAATCTCACAGAAGAATCACTAAGTGGTTTACAGAAGTTAATGGCCAGGCACTAATGTACCTACTCTTGTATTTAGATGGAGGAAATACTGATATGTGTGTCTAAAGACCCCAAATGTGTCTAGATTTTTTTTTTTTCAAAAATAAAGGTAAGAACAACCTATGGTAACTGAAAGTTTGTTCCACAATTTAAAAAAAAAAACAAGAAGGGAAGGAGGGATATTCCTGTTTCCACATATAACAAGACTACTTTAAATGTAGCTCTACTTGGTTCTGAGAAAACCTGGTTCCTCAGCCTCAGGAGCTGAGTTGTAATTCCAGATCTATAGCAATAGCCAATAAGAGAAAGAAATAAACATCACACAGTTATTCAGATAATTGTAGAAGAATACACTGGATTTTGGGGAAGAGACACTCTTTTTGAATAAGCTTTGAAACCTTGTCAGAGAACTCAGGTCAATTAGATTTTCCTGAGACAAAAAGGAAGACTATATTTATTCAGTTGTCTCAGGGCCCTGGGAGAAATTTGAATTGGAACCTAAAATAAAAATGCCATCTGGGAATATCTTGCAAAAGACATCTTGATATAAAAAATGGTATTTTTGCCACTGGCCTAAGAATGGTCTTATCCCATGTGACCTTGGGATCTAATGAAATTCCTGGGAAAACAGTTATTATTACTCCCTACTTAAAATATAAGCAGGTGCCAGTAGTATTTTCTTAACATGGTCTTTTATTTCAGCCCTTTACAATAGGTATATTTTGGAGAAGCCTAAAAGCTTGAATTCAGACAGAAAAATATTATCAAAATATTGAACAGGACACTTGGATACTTAAAAAAATTGCAGGAGGGGGAACCACATCAAAAAGCGGAGTGGCACAAAGGGCAACAGGGATCTGGACTGTTTAGGGCAAGGGAAGGGCAGGATCCCTCAGCGGGGTGGGGTGTCCCTGAGGTCCCTGTGCCATGGGAAAGGGAACTTTGTGTCCAGACCTGGGCCCTCAGACACCTCTGCTCTGGCCCAGGCAGTACCTTGTTATTCAGCCAAATATTCCAACTCGAGCAGGGAGAGATTTCCCACCCTGCATCCAAACAAAATGAAGTCAGCTTTGACTCTGCAAAATGTCGATGAATTCTTCAGAGTAAATCAGCCCTGTCAGTCTGATGTGGAACTGTCACCTACTTGTGACATAATATAATATGAAATGATATTGAACAACATGCGTTTGGCACTAAATTGTTAGCGGGTTTTAGCTTTGACAGCAGCAAGTTTATTGCTTTAATCCCAAGGTCTTTTAACCCTCTTTGACATAAATTGAGGTTGGCTTTTGTGAGAAAACTCCACTCTCTCTTCCTTTACCTAAAACTGCTTTTAACAATTTATGCTCATACATCAGACACTCATTTTGAGTGACAAAAAGAAAAAAGATCTATTAGAATAGAAGGAAAAAAGGGTCAATTTAGGTTAAGCAGTGTATGTCTCTTTTGGTAGGCATGTCACAGCTTTCTTCAGGTGAATGTGAATTTTAAGTTGTAATAATGTATTGCTGTAGCAAAATAAAACAAATCTGTGACAAGAAGAGAGAATAAGTATTGCAGGAGAAAGGCTGATAACCTGCACAAGACTATCCTTTCTTTTTTTAATGCAATTTAATTCATACCTAAGATGGTTCCGTTTTGAAACTTTTCTTATAAGATCAAAGGATTTTCTTCTTTATGCCACCACTGTAGAGAGACTAGTTTAGTGAGGATTACACGTGGAAATACAGATGTGTGGAACAGATACTACGTACACACAGCGTTGCTGAATAGTATGGCTGGCTGACAGCACATAATTTAATATTTCTCCTTTTTGAGACACCTTGTTTAGTTTGATAAGTAAGTACACATTGTCATCAGTGCTCTGATAATCCCGTCACAGAAATGCATCATATATGAACTCTAACATCAATAACACAGGACACTTTTATCACCCTTGTTTTTCTACTCTCAATTACTGTATGAGGCTCATAGTGTTGCTTTGAAATCATTTCTTTATTACATTTAAAGCTCAGCTGAATCTGCCCTTGAACTGTTTAATAATGGAGAATGAACATATTCTCAGCATATTTGTAAATTATTTTTTTAGTGTTTTCTTTGTTCTCACAGAGAGAGAAGTATATTACTGATCTACCATCATTTTTACAGGAAAGTAAGGAAAGTATTAGACAAAAGGAAACCTGTGTTTCTCTCCAGGTGTGAGCATTTTGAAAGTTTTTATCCAATTTTTTCTACTTTATAATTTTTCTACTATTATTATCTCTAACTTCCTCATAGCAATTTTGCTCCTGGCTAATGTTTGGGCAAATACATAAACAAGTTGTTCTCTAAGAATCAGAAATTAGACTCTCTGTGATCTCCTACAGATTTGTGTCTTGTTTCTCTTGCACCCTTCCCCACGTCAATAACCTTATTTCCTCCTTGACTTTTGGTGTCTCCTCCACTCCAATACCTTCAATTCCCTCTTCATATACCCACTTTTCTCCACATCTTCCAACTCTTCCACCATAACATCCTCAGGTACCTAGAGCTGACTGCAATGTTCCACTCCTCCACTCCTGTTCCTCACAGACTAAATCCAAAATTATTAAATGCAAACGATAAATGAACTTTATGGCATTTTTATGTTGGAAACTCCATCCCACAAATCAGGAAAATACCTAAATAGGAAAATATTTCCAGACCTTCTATGACAAATAGTGTTACTTTGCTTCCTAGTTATGCTATACGGAAATTATAATTTTGTTTTTTTAAGATCATGATTTATCACATTCTGTATCCTGGAGATATGTTGATTGCTATGTTATATGCTAAGTATATCTTGCTATACATTTAAAGCCAAGGTAATACTAATTTTGATGGTTGTCCACATTTTTCCAGTCTTGGCAACTGATTTCTTTTTCCTTCATTCTTCTCCTAACATGTCCTTTGGTTTGAAAGCAGGATGTGCCAAGCTGCTGATGCCAATCCTGACTTCTCAAACGCCAAGGGCAGTAATTTCTTGATCAGGATTTGGCCCTGCAGATTGACCACACCTGCTGGAGCAGAACACAAGGCCTCCACCAGGTGTTTCTCGTTGATAGGTCCTGCTCCACCACAGTTCTCCTCACAGAGAGCAGGAGAGATGAGATCCTACGGCATTGCTCTTCTTTAAGCGTTTGATACTGGCAGCCCTCGCAGTTTCCCTCCTCCCATTACAGTTGTAAGTATAAATTCCACAACATTTCCAAATCCTGACAGAATGAAACTTGGGGAATTGGGAAAATGGGGTAAGTGTATGAATTGTGATCTCGTCCATGCAATAAAAAGCACTATCAGTGGGCATTCAGCAGCTGAACTACCCTCATGTTGTTTGTATTTTTATGGACACTGTTATAACTATAGTCAAGTATGATTTAACTTTAAAAGGGATGCTGTAGCATTGTTCAAGTCCAGAGCTGCCATA